AAATCTTTATATAAAATCTTTATATAGTTTGCATAACAATGGTCTTTTGTTAAAGTGTTCTTTAGCTGGTATAAAGACGTATGCACGTGACTAATTTCTTACTCAAGATTGGATAATTGCTTCATGAATTATTAATGATTTTTGAAAATTATTTATAGTAGAGGCAAAGAAGTTAAGATAGATAGATAGATTGTTTAATAAGATTAACACATAGCAGCCAATAAGGCTGAATTGCGTGCCAAATTTTACAAGAGAAATGATTAAAATAAGTTAATTCTATATTTACAGAAGTTTAAAATTACATTACAATTTATAATTCTATATTACAGAAACTAAAAAACTGAACTTAATAAGGTGCGTATCTTGGATGGAAAATTACAAGAAGCTGGAAATATGGGCTTCGCCAGAGGCCCGTCCACCCGTTTTTTGGACGGGTACTTGTGAACCTGGCAGTTTGCATTAAAACTCTAGTATTTTGTCCGTGGTAATTAGTACAACCGTATAAGCTTAAATTTTGCTATAACATCACACTAAACAGTCACTGCACATCCCTGCACATACATCCACAAACAACTAAAATTTCCTTTGTATTTGAAATATATATATATAAGTATTTTAGGCTTCGGCGGTATGTTAGTGTGGTAACCAAGTTGTTTGCTCTTCAGTTTTGACTGTTAGTAGTTTTACACGTGCTCCTTTGACTGCTAAGAATTACGTTTTTAGAAGATAAAGATAAAGATTTGATTTCAAAATTATTCCAAGAAAAACATTTTTTTTTGGGGAGATTTTATATCCGGCCGAGCATTTGTGGACGGATACATTCCTAGTCCTGGCCATGTCACTAGCTGGAATGCTCTAAAAACCATCTAGAACAGTGGAAGACTTATCGCGAATGCGTTATTGTAGTGCCAGAGCATGACTGCGCTAATCGACTACAGAAATTTAGGTGTGTCAAGAAACTAGAAAAATGTAGAAGGCTTATATAACTAACAAGACGATCAACGTAGCCTGCGTAATGCGTAAATGAACCATGAAATGAACGTGATCATAATATATACTTATACATATGACGGCAAGTCAACAATAACTTATTAGTTAATGCCTTAATCCCTTTGTTGTCCCAAAAAGGGGGCAACCAGTTGCCCCCGCACTGTTAGGGCAGCGGGGGCCACTGCCCCCGTGGCTCCGGCGCCCCTGTCCATCATATGCACTTTCATGCTAGCATTATATTTTTGTCGTATCTGAATTCCTTAGGGCTAAATTTTGCAATCAAGTTGCCCAATATTGAAATTGGCCCATAGCAACCACCTTAGCAACCAATGTTATTGGCTCGGTATTGCTGACCAAAATAGTCTACATTTGTACCTGCTTACCCCTCCCATATTACTCTTGTATTTGAAGCCAGTATAACATATCTTAAATGAAGTACAATGTCTATTTTGTCTCGATGTGTTAAATGGAAGGTTTTCCATCATGTTGTCGCACGTTGTCAACAACTTGTTCACGGTTGTTCAGAACAGGTTGCAGCAATGTTGTGCTGCACCCTGTCAACAAGGCTTGTTAACAATATTGTTCACGCTTGTTCGAACAATGTTGTTAGGCCACATAAAAAAAAAATAGTTGGTTAGCGTCCTTAGCTTTTGCCAAAAAGTGGGCGGGCGGGCGCTTTTTTTTTAAAACGCCTTGGTTTTAGGTCTGAAACTGGATTTTCTTGCGCAGTACAGGTATTTTTTTATATATTTCAAAATATGATTCATACCGTGATTTTCGCACGGAATTTCGCAACTTATTAACACAATTGACTACAGTCAACAGAAATACTACATATATTAGAGCCCGTTCATCAATAAAAGTTGGGGTTTTTTAAAATAAAAAATAAAAAAAAATCCTGAGCGGGGCCTTTTTTGTGGGCGGGCGAGGACGCTAACCAACTATTTTTTTATGTGGCCTTAATAACGCCTGATGTATGAACAAGGCCTGAACAACGTTGTTGGAACAACGCAAATCAACCTGATATCAATGATGGTTTATATTGTCAACAACTGCGAACAGTCCTGTTTTATCAACACGTAAACAGCCTGATATCAATCGTTTTCGACGCTGTTATTCGTGGCCATTTTCCAGGGGAAATTTAAATAAGCACAAACAGACAAACTTCGCTTCTTGATATGAAATTCAGTTTATTTTGAAATAATTAGAAAATACAGATTAGTGAACAAATACAAACTAAAGAGTTAATTACAGTAAAAGTACAAAGGTAAGATAACTATAAACTATTTTATATGCAATTAAGGTTTATAAAATACTAAGTACTATTTATAATACTGCAGTAAACCATGGCAGTATTTTAGCAAAAGGTAGTGCAACACTACAACCTCTATAATTATTATTTAGGTATTTCCGGATGGAATTTGAATCTGTTGGAGCAAGTCTATCACAGAGATATTATGAACCATGCATGCAGTTTATAAATATAATCATATATTTGCCCATTTTATTTATAAACTAGCTGACACTCTGTAACTGACAGTTAATAATTAATCTTTCACCGACTAATAAAATCATCTGGGGCCGGTAGTTCAAAGGCCTACACGGGCTTCGAACAACCGGCCCTAGATGATTTTATTAGTATGTGAAAGAGTAATAGTATTAACTGTCAGTTTATAAATATAATGGGCAAATTAGAGATAGAGTATATAAAATACTAAAGTAGGCTCATTGCCAGTTGATGGGTTAGGTCAACATAATTAATAAACTATAGATGGTTTTGTTGCATCTCACTCGATGGAAATTTTAATGTTGCGTTTTGTAGATGGATAAATCGAGTACTTAATAATTTGAATTAAAATATGGACCTAACCAGGCCCTTATTGCCTGAATGGCATCTTATTCAAATCATCATTTAACTTGAAATAAAGGGATCTCCCTCAATTGATTTAGCCAGAGGGCCAACCCCATTCCTGGATCACTCAAATGGCAAACCTTATAGTTTATATATACAGTAAACAATGTATTAGGAAACTAAATGGTGTTATTATATACCAATAGTCAAAGTCGGATTTTTCTAGTGTTTTATTGGTCGAGAGCATATCACGTGAGAGTGACGAAATTAGACTGTCTCCCTCGCAACGGCGCGAGAGGGAAACAATACGTTATCGACCGGCGAATAACGAAAAAAAATTACGTGCGTCATCACGTGAAGATGCGACCTTTGGACATGCCTAGTAATTTAAACTTTCGCTTTAAGAAACTGCAGTGTTTATTTTAACGTTGTAACAATAAAATATTTCATGTATTTACGTTCATTTGTTCTTTAATTTGTTGTTTCTTTGACTATTGATATATAATAAAACACTTATTTACTGAGACCTCGGGAAAGCAGTGTGTTTTGTGGACCCTCGGTCTCAGTAAATAAGTGATAATTATTGACTGAAGAAGAATAAATGAAGACTATTAATTACTGCATCAGAGTATCAATTTTCTGTCTGCATCCTTTTGAACGTTCGATATTTTTAACCTTACAATAATGATAATGATTATTCAATTAAAGTCAACAATTTCTTTTTCATCCTGAGAACATCCAGTTTCAGTCCTTCTGAACTTGTTTGACACTCCTTGGCAGTGATATTTCTGTAGATCCGCCATTATTTTATTCCAGATATGAACTCACAGGCCCTATAAATTAAGATTATAAATACATAATGCCATTAATTTACAAAATGGACCTTTAATTGCAATGTTTTAATATGGTGGGATGCAGCCCCAATTGTATGTTTCCCACCATATATATTTTACATGGGTCATGCCATATAACTTCAGTACATGGTCATTTTTGGATCCATGCCTGGGACATATCATAATCTTGAATCTAATTTGGGTATTCAATCATGTTAAATAGACATAGGCAGTCCACATATGGACTGGTCATGCTATGTCTATAAGTGCATGGCTATTGCCAAAATAGCCTCAATCTACACAGACCACAACAAAGGTATAAAAATTACTTACCAAGTGATCACCCATTGTATATAATTTGTCTGACATATTCATAGATCTTTATTTTTATACTTTACACTACAAAAAGGATAAAAATGAGACAATAATTACATTTGAGCATAATTATGATCATATGATTATCCCCCATAGCCATGTGAGAAATCATAGCTACCTCTTTCATACCTTCCATGACAATCATAGTCACTGTTTAACACAGGAAATAAAAGGAAATATGACTGGCTGGTAGTAACTACAATTAGCCTTTTCCCAAAAGAGATCACAGTGAATTCTGGAATCGTTTGGAGGGACAAAAAATATGATGACAGGCGTCAAATGTTGAACGAGTAGAAGTATCTACCATCAAATATAAACTTTTTCCATGACTGAAAATTGAAATATCTCCTTTTTACATTAAATATTTAATTCATGTGTGCTGCCATATTTCTTGGCCCTCCAAACAAGGGATTCGTGCGACTAGACCCAGGAAATGGCTAATTACTTAACTGTATGCACTCTTACCTATACCTACTTATAATTTATCCATCACATATTATATGCAGTAAATACATCATTCTTGGTGTGTAAACTGATCAAGTATTTGGTTGACCTTGTTAAAACACAATAGGAATTGTCTATATATAGCAGTGATCAAAATTACAAACAACAATAGGGACGGAAGGAGCGGATCGGAGGACATATGATGATAGCTTTTTTGACATATTCAGTCAAATTTCAAAGTTAAAAAGACTCTGACAGAAATTTAAAGCGTAATTGGAAAAATTTGAACAATATTTTGAGAACTAAATGTTTTGTTTATATATATTACGGCTTTTTATTACAGTTTGACCATGGTTTCTTGTTTGGCATATATACTGAAAATATCGAGAAAAATATCAAAATGCAATGCCTATATAAAAGTATACTATAAAGTTTGTGCGTGTGCATTTCTTCGTGTACTATAAAAATGACTAAAATCAAAAGGTCGCGTTGTTTTAAGCTTTTACAACTAACCTTACCTCAAAACAAGATACTTTAATACCAAGTTATTTTCTTCAGTATTTTCCCCTCAATCTTCAGAAAAAACCACAAAGTTTAAACGACATTTATTTTGCTGCAAAAGCCCGGCCATAGATTATAGATCATACCAGATGTCTCACTGTGTATCTATCCCAGATCTATCCCTATGATTTTCGTGTCCGCGATTTTCGCGCGTGCGACACTTATTGCCAAAATGGCGCTTACTGCCAAAATGCGTGAATTACACTTACTGCCAAAATGGCGGCCAACGCGTGTTCATAAAAAATCGCGGACACAATTTTGGCTGAGTGATTCATCTGGTATTATCTATCATCTGTGGCCCGGCCGTTTGATTTCTTGCTCTCGTGATATTCGTCGCATTCGTCCGTTTTGCATCCCAGCGCTTCGCAACAACCAATAAAAACAAGTTTTCGTGTTGTTCAAATCATTATTTTACCGTCTATTTATAACAATGCTGTTCACGGTTGTTCTAACAACTAAAAACAACTTGTTCTTTCATCAATGTTGTTAACGCTAGCTGTTCGAACAACATTGTTGACGCCTGATGAATGAACAACGCTGAACAACATTGTTCTGACAACATTTATCAAGCATGTTTCATCAACCTTGTTGACGCTTGTTCCATCATGTTGCAACAACCATTGTTCGTTCATCAAGCGTGAACAAGTTGTTGGAACAATGTTGTTAACGATTGTTGCTTGAACAACGTTGTTCAGCCATGATAACAACATTGTTCAGGTATTGTTCAATGAACAACGCCGAACAACCTGATGAATTTTTACACGTGTAGGCAGCCCACTAAACGACTGAATTTAAATTTAAACTGCAGTGAAATTATAAAATTTAACTAAAATAATCACAAATTAGCGAAATATATTGCGAAATGTAGCTTATATTAAATCGCCACTCGATTGCACTATCGGCGAACTGGCGTATATTAAAGTATACCTAAAGCCGGTTTTCCACTTCGCCCGTATCGTACCGAAACGTACTGGCACAGAATAGGAAGGTATAGCAGAAGCGTAACTCAAGCAAGTATTTGTCCGCGTTTTTACAAGCGATTCGTCATCAATCACGCCATCCTGGCTAGTACAACCGGCACTTTGTACCTACCAAATCCTGATAAAAACTTCCGGCTGTACTAGCATAGAATATATAATAGACCAGAAGCCTCACTGTACACCTTTCCTTAACATTTTCGTGTCCGCGATTTTTGCCTTGCGGATCACGAATTTCGCACGCTAGATGACGTGTGTGACACTTGCTGCGAACATCACGTCAGCGTTCGTCAGCAAAACGGTTAAAACAGCAATCTTTATTACCTGGTAATGGCAATTGATGGCGTAATTGCTCGCCTTTGATGGCGTGGATTACACTTGCTGGCTCGCGCCTGCGCATAAAAAATCTCGGACATAATTTTGGCACAGTGAGGCTTCTGGTTTATTTTCTATTCTGTGGTACTAGCCAGGATGGCGTGGCCTGGCGTGAGCGAGTTAAAATTTTCGTGGACGTAAAACAATAAGGGAACCGACTCGAGTTACACTTCTGCTATACCTTCTTATTCTTGTGGTACTGGTGAGCATGCGCAGATTGAGAAGAGGTTTATAAATCCACGTACTTCCAATTCCAGGTGTATTCGCGTATCAAAATAAAAAGTTTTTGGCGTACTACGGAAGTAATAACCAATCAACATTCACGAAATTTTGAAATTTAAAAACGTTTTTAATACGTTTCGGTACGGTACGCTTGAAGTGGAAAACCGGCTTAAGGTTGGCAAAGGGTTTCAACTGTTTGAACTACATACAAAAATATATCCGTAGTATTTTAAAAAGTTGGAAGAAACTAGCCCTAAAAACAACATGAACATAAACAAGGATAATTTTACTATAACCTGTCTGTAACTTTTTTTTGTCAAAGTACAGCTTTAAATGTTGATAAATTTACGAAAGTTTACGGTGTTTTGTCGATATTTTTCTCTGTGTCTATGCGGGATGCTCGCATCCTGTTACTGGACACATTTTTCAAAATAAAACTCAGCCGGTTCATTGGCTATAGCCACAGATGAAGTATATACCAGATGTGTAATTTAGTAGGTCCAAAGAGTAAAGATATATTAATAGTAGTGTTTACAACATTTATAAATTTTATAAACAGCACTCATTTTGACACAACTCACACAAGTTTAAATTTTTTGCTTTTATATATATTCTTAATAATACAAGTGAGATTTAACTTTTTTGCTTTGTGGAATAGAATACCGTTACTGTATTTTTTAATGGACAGCTTGTATCGTCTTTATCATATCCAGGATTGCTTGTAAATGCATATATCACTATGACACTATCAAATAAATATACAAATATATTTGAGATTGATTCACAATGAAAACTTTAAAAATGTTAGTAGAAGTAGAAAACTCGAAAATTTATGTTTATTCGTATGACAGTCTGTGCGCGTCTGACACTGTAAATTTGTGATATATAGATTTAGTATATTAGGAAAATATTATGATTAATAAAGACCAAGAAAAAGGCTAAAGCCTGACTATAATTACCGAATACTATGTACTAAATCCAAAATTTTATAATCACTGACAGACTTTCTCTGTTACGTTTGGCTAGTATCAAATGTTTACATTTGCTAATATTGGGCTCTAGTCCCAGACAATACAATAGTCAATACTGTTTCTTTCAATCTTATAAACAAGACGCGTAGACGTAGTAACAGGTCATTAAATCGGTGCAAAGCATATAAACATTTACAAGAAAGGACAAATCTAATGACGTATTTTAAAAACATTACATATGTAGAAATGATGACTGAAAAGCTCATAAACGTTTGTTATAAAACCGCGCTCGAGTGTGAAGAGACGGCATTGAATAACAACACGAGAGAGCACTGCCACTGTGAGTAACGATTTGCTTGGCTTCTTGACTTGACTGTCGGTAAAAATGTAAGAATGTTTTTGTAAATTCAAAGCAAAGAAAATAAACAAAAATTAGCAAGTATTTTGAACTTAATAATTCGCAAACTCCACGGGCACAGGAATCATGTAATTTGATACTTTCCCCACACACCCTCGGGCGCTAACTTTTGGACGAGGCACGTGACCAGCCCATACCAGGGTATTTCCTAAATACCCTGGGAACGAGGTTGGCATCTGATTGGATGACGACCTGATGACGACTCACTTTAAACTTGCTGAGCACGCGCAGTTGATCATTTTTCGGCCGGTCGCCTGAAAAAAAGTCGGTACGTGATAACGTAATCTTCCGCAGTGTTTACGACGGTCAGTTACGTCTCTTGTATGTCTCTACTCTGTGGTTTTATTTTGAAAAATTTGTCCAGTAACAGGATGCGAGCATCCCGCATAGTCACAGAGAAAAAAATCGAGAAAACACCGCAAACTTTCGTAAATTTATCAATTACAGCAACACATACAGTGTCCCACGAGAATTACTAATACAACAGCATCACTACTGGATGTTATCCTCACTTATTATGGTGATGATAAAATATTAGATACAGGAGTAATACACCTTGGTATCAGTGATCATAGTCTTGTTTATCTGTGTCGAAAGCTCAGCATTCCTAAGGCGCCACCAAAAACTGTCTTTACTAGACATTATAAAAATTATAATGTTAACCAGTTTAACAACGATCTAAGTGAGGTTTTTAGTTTGCCCTTGGATTCAGCTATTTTAACTGACCCAAATGCCTTATGGGACGATTTTAAAAATAAGTTTTTGAGCGTCGCAGATAAACATGCACCAATCAGACAACGTCGTGTCAAGAGTGAATATAAACCGTGGCTGACAAATGAAATTAAGCAAATGAGCTATCGTAGGGATTACCTTAAAAAGCAATCGATTAAATTAAGATCTGCGTATTATGATAAGGCTTACAAGAGATGTAAAACAAGTTAAATAATCTCATAAAAGAAACTAAACAAGAATACTTTAGAGATAAACTAAGCAATGCTAAAAATAGCAAAGAAAGTTGGCGAACTATTAACGAATTATTAAACAAAAAGCCTAAAACTTCAGAGGTTAAAGAACTAGATATAAATGGCCAACTTATTACTGACGATGATAAAATTGCAGATGCCTTCAATCAATATTTTTCCACAATTGGTAGTACGTTGTCTGACAAGATCACAGGTAACTGCACTGATCCAATGAACTTTGTGACTCCTCTTGATGGTAGTATATTCAACTTTACAAGCATTACACTCCAAGAAACAATAGATGCACTCAATGAAATTAAAACTAAGAAATCTCCAGGGCTTGATGGTATTAGTATAAGGTTACTAAAAGATGCATCTAACATTGTGGCAAGACCACTAGTGAACATATTCAATGTATCCCTTCAAAGAGCAATTTTCCCTAATGATTGGAAATTAGCAAAGGTGACCCCCATATTTAAAGAAGGAAATAAGGCAGACTGTGAAAATTATAGGCCAATATCTGTTATTTCAGCTGTAGCTAAACTTTTCGAAAAACTGGTATACCTGCAGCTAAGTTCATTCTTGAGGTTGAATGGCATTCTTGTGGAACAGCAGTCTGGCTTCCGTCATCAACATTCTACTGAAACTGCACTGCTTAGTTCTACAAATGAATGGTTGTTCAATATGGACAGAGGTTTACTTAGCGGAGTTTTATTTCTAGACCTTAAAAAAGCTTTTGATACTGTCGACCATCATATTCTTTTATCAAAGCTTGAATTATATGGTATCAAAGGAACTAGCCTAAAATGGTTCGAATCATACGTTTCTGGTCGAAGCCAAATATGCTCTGTGAATGGCAAGATGTCAGCTGTTAGACAAATAAAATGCGGGATACCTCAGGGCTCTAACCTTGGGCCTATTTTATTCCTATTGTACATAAATGATCTTCCTAACTGTTTAGAGACAACTAAAGCAAATCTTTTTGCTGATGACACAAGCCTTTCTTGTGAAGGGTTTAGTCCATATGAAATTGAGATCAAACTTAATAAAGACATTGAAAATGTTCATAGGTGGTTGACAGCTAACAAGCTCTCATTAAATATGAAAAAAAGTGAATTTATGATAATAGGATCAAGACGTCGCTTAGCTTCAATTGAAAATAGCCCAGTACTAACATTAGGGGGAAACAACATTAAGCGAGTTTACCAAAAAAAGTCACTAGGCATGATCCTTGACGACCAGTTAAAATGGAATAAACATAGTGAAATGCAATGTAAAACAATTTCAAATAATATCGCCCTGCTGAAAAGAGCAAAATTGTTTGTCAATAGAGATAGTCTGATAAAAATCTACAATGCCTTAGTGTGGCCTCATTTCAATTATTGTTCAACAATCTGGAATGATGGATGTTGTTCGATAATTGATAAATTGTTTATACTGCAGAAGAGAGCAGCGCGTGTGATAACAGGGGACACATATGAGGTTCGTTCCATGCAAACGCTAGATAGTCTTAATTGGCTTCCAATAGAAGAACTTCTAAAACAACGACAGTTAATAATGACATTTAAAGTACTAACTGGTCGATTACCTCGATACCTTGAAAAATTGTTTTCAGTAAGTCAAAATGACAATTACAATCTAAGAAGCAATCAAATTAAATTGAACCTACCCAAACCTAAGACAAATTTTCTCAAACGAAGTTTCTCGTATAGAGCTGCTAAGTCCTGGAACGAACTTCCAAGTGAAACTATTGAAAATTATAACAATCTTTCAATTTTGTCGTTTAAACGGCAATTACTTAATTCATCCGTATCAATTCATTGTAAATAGTTATATTCTTTTTGTCCTTTTTATATTATTGTTGTAAACACACGGCCCTTTGAAAACCAGCGCTGTAAATATTATCTGCTGAACAGGCTACCGTGTTTAAATAATTTTATTAAAGATTAAAGATTAAAGATTAAAGCCGAAACCATATAGAATAAGAAATGAATAGAAGGGCAACTCGCGTGTACAAAGCGTAACCGATTTTCAGTGCGCACGCGCGGGATTCTCAAGCTCGCAGAGTCTCGCAGCCAGTAAAAGCCAGTCAGTGCAATAGGGATTTGTATTACGAAATGTACATTTTGATCACAAAATCGACTATTTTTCGGAAACAAAGGATTGGAATATCAAACTACTACGACTGCCAGCAGAGGCAATGTAAGCCTAAATTATTATTGTGGTTAGCATAGAAAGAAATGAATATTTAGGGAGAAATTTGATATTGTTGTGTGAGCTACAGTCCGAATCTGAATGAAATGCCGACAGTCGATCGTGTATACTGTGTTATTTATTTCGATTTTCGAGGTTTATGTCAAATCTTATCAGTACAGGTTTTGGATTGCATCAAATTTTATTTAAAAAAGTATAAATTTCAAAGTCACGAGCAATTAATCAAATTTATTTCGTGCGGGAAGTTGTCTGTCTGTGTCTGACATGTTGAACTACAAATACAAACAATATCAGAAAATGATGTTATTTATTTATGTAATTGAAATATCATGATTATAAATTAACATTCATTCCTATTACTACAATATTACTTCGAATACATCGAATTTTTCCAACAAATAAACCAAACTATCATATGTTAATATACCGTACTTTATACTTTGTAAGTAAACAACATGTATTAATACGTTTAAATTTCGCATTTAGCAATTCTTTAGGATAGGATAGGATAAAACTTTATTTGACTACGCTGGCCACTTCAACCATAGCTGCTTTCCAAGTGGGGCGTAGATAAATGTTACAAAAATATATAAAATACAAAATCACTAAGAAAATTAAGAACTACGAATACAAATACATATTACAAAACAAATGGTATACAAAACTCAAATAGCTAATTTGTCAGACTAACAGAGGAAATATTTCTATTGAAAGAATTTAAAGATTCGCTGTTTCTTACTTGTTCAGGAATGCTATTCCAGATTTTAACCCCACTATATCGAAATCATTTTCTGCCATACTCGGTATTTGGTCGTGGCAGAAAGAGAGACGAATTTGAACCTCGTAAATTATAACTGTGGATATGGTTAGAATTCTGGAACATGGATGAGAACCTCGATGGTGCCAAATTATTGACAAC